CAGGGGATCAGGCACCCGGTGTATGGGATCACGAGGGAACACAGGGGATCAGGCACCCGGTGTATGGGATCACGAGGGAACACAGGGGATCAGACGCCCGGTGTATGGGATCACGAGGGAACACAGGGGATCAGACGCCCGGTGTATGGGATCATCAGGGAACACAGGGGATCAGGCGCCCGGTGTATGGGATCACGAGGGAACACAGGGGATCAGGTGCCCGGTGTATGGGATCACGAGGGAACACAGGGGATCAGGTGCCCGGTGTATGGGATCACGAGGGAACACAGGGGATCATGCACCTGGTGTATGGGATCACGCGGTAACACAGGGGATCTGGCACCCGGTATATTGGATCATGCGGGAACACATGGGATCAGGTGCCCGGTGTATGGGATCAGGCAGTAACACAGGGGATCAGGCACCTGATACACAGAATCACATGGAATAAAGGGGAATCAGGTGCCTAGCGTATGGGATCACGCAGGAAGAGGGGGATTGAGTGCCCGACGTACAGGATCGCACAGGAATACAGGGAAATCAGGCACATGACGTATGGATTGCAAGGGAACATGGGAGATCAGGCATCCAGAGTACTAGATCACCCAGAAACAAGGGGATCAGGCAGCCGGCATACGAGGATTACACTGGAACATGGGGGGATCAGGCACCCCGCATACAGGACTACACTGGAACATGGGGGGGATCAGGCACCCCACATACGGGATTACACTNTAGCGTATGGGATCACGCAGGAAGAGGGGGATTGAGTGCCCGACGTACAGGATCGCACAGGAATACAGGGAAATCAGGCACATGACGTATGGATTACGCTGGAACATGAGGGATCAGGCACCTAGCAAATAGGATCGCTCAGGAACATGGGGGATCAGGCACACAGCGTATGGGATTACACTGGAACATGGGGGGATCAGGCACCCCGCATACAGGACTACACTGGAACATGGGGGGGATCAGGCACCCCACATACGGGATTACACTGGAACATGGGAGGATCAGGCACCCCACATATGGGATTACACTGGAACATGGGGGGGATCAGGCACCCCGCATACAGGACTACACTGGAACATGGGGGGGATCAGGCACCCCACATACGGGATTACACTGGAACATGGGGGGATCAGGCACCCCACATACGGGATTACACTGGAACATGGGGGGATCAGGCACCCCACATAAGGGATTACACTGGAACATGGGGGGGATCAGGCACACAGCTTATGGGATTACACTGGAACATGGGGGGATCAGGCACCCCGCATAAAGGACTACACTTGAACATGGGGGGGATCAGGCACCTGGCATACAGGATTACACTGGAACATGGGGGGATCAGGCACCCCACATACGGGATTACACTGGAACATGGGGGGGATCAGGCACACAGCGTATGGGATTACACTGGAACATGGGGGGATCAGGCACCCTGCATACAGGACTACACTTGAACATGGGGGGGATCAGGCACCCGGCATACGTGATCGTGCAGGAACATGAAGGATCGGACACACGGCAATGCAAACAGTTAGTTACATTTACCTACAGAGATCCAACTTCCTTTTGTCAATAAATCAGAGACTCATTATTTTACTCTTAACCATTTGTTTAGATTCTTTTTACTAACACATAGAAAAACAAATGCAAACACACAATACAATTTTTTTCCTTTTTCCCCCCCATGCCCCCAACTCCACATACAACTTAGTACATCATGTTACATACAGCTTGAGGGACAAATGAGAACAACATTGACATCAAAACAATGATCATAATTAATTAATAGAACAAACAAATTCATGAAATACTAATGAAGAAACATGATGCAATATTCCTATGAATAGATATACACAACTTTAAATCTTTACAATGTTTCCAGAAAGAACAAATTAAATTAATTTTATGTACAAAGAGAGCACCTCCTGTTTTTGTAAGCCCTGATGTTATGCAATTTATTTAGGAAACACGTGATCAATACATAAGTAAAATAAGGAAATACATCATAAGCCCAAAGGCCACAGCCCAGAACCCAAACCCGGAAACATAAACTGGCACGAGTAAAGGCTCTGCGCATAAACCACAGCTACACGGCTCGCTCTACCCACACGCTATGGGAGGAACCACACCCTTACGGCCACCCCTCCCACACACTGCTGCCAATCCAGGGTTTCCCAGACCGATCCTCGGAGACCCCCGGACAGCCTACGGAGCAAAAGTGCAGACTGTCTGGCAGGGAGCTGGGAGGGAGCAAAAACCTGGACCGTCTAGGGGTCCCCGAGGACCGGATTGAGAAACGCTGCTCTAGTCACACCCTTTTAGTTACTCTGCCTAACTACCTCCCATCAGAGTGAAGCACTGCTCACACACTGCCTTTGAAGACACACCCTCCACCTCCCACACCATTCCTCTGAGGCTACACCTATCCAGCTGCTCCACCCACACGCTCCCTCTAAAGATACAGCTACAGTACTTACTATTTTGTTTTGTTTTCTTATGCAGGCTCCCTCTAGTGGCAATTGAGGGTATGGATATCACGGCATCAGATACAAGAAAAGAGACACAGAGGAGAAACAATATGTTGATGGACGGCAATTCTACTGGAGACCGGCCCCCTAGACTCCAGCCAGTAGAAAGTCCTTTCACTTTCGCTCTGGAACCGTCCACATCTAGATATGATCTACAGCTGATTGGCATAGCGGTGATGTGGAGAAACAAAAGGTGCAAAGAGGATGGGCAGGCAGCTGATACACCGTCACCACTGAGAGTTAAGCACGTGCCATCACATCATCACTTATGGGGCCACCTACAGGCGCGTCTGCATGTTTTAGGTGGTTTTAAAAAGATAGGGAGGCGAACGAGGGAAAGGGCTGAAAATGAGACTCTGTGTCCCCTTAATGACGACGAATGGAACAGGGTGAGGGAGAGAGGTCTCTGCTGAAAGTCAGACAGACAAGAGGCAGCCTTCAGACAGCTGTAGAGGGTACATCTGTCACAAGAGAGTCCCAGGGCACTGAGCCTGCCTCAGTTCAGTAACACGAGGAGCCGTCCATAACCTTGTTCTGTCCCTGACAGCAGGGACATTCACTTTCAACAGCCCACACCATCACACCAGCAGTAAATCCGGCACCCTGTAGCAACACGGGAGAAGACATATCCATCCATCCTGCCAGACACCAACACCCGCCTTGGTGAACATCAGATTACCTAAAGCCATGAGAGTGTCTTATGTTCACTATGTAGAATCTACCGGCAGGTTTTGGAGACTTTCTACAATCACATATGAGGCACATATAAACACGGGTGGGTCATCTAAGAATGTCACACAGGTCTGTTTTAGCAGGGTGACTGGCGAAGACCACCAACCCAGAAAACCAAGGTCAGAGTCAAGGTCAGAGTCAAGGTCACCTCCATTTGGAATCCAGGGAGAGGTGCAACAGGCTGTGCAGAGGGGGTGGATTTTCCATAATCCACACTTCTGCCATACTGCACATTCATCATTCCCCCTCCCCTCCAAGCACGAGAACCATCAGTAAAATATCCCTTTCTGCCAAAAATTGATACTCCACTGCAACCACTCAACCCCCACAGCCGAGGTGATTACCCTGCCTGTGGAGGTTAGCGAAGCCCAGTCTGACACAAGCAGGACTTTCACACCAAACATGACCTCATAGCCTGTGGGGGGGGCAGATACATGTGAGTGCTCTGGGGCTTCATGGCTACAAACATTAACCTTGGCCCTGAGGTTTCCACATGTGAGTTAAGCACAGAAAGCCATTTATACCCCATACTGTGACCATTAACAGCAAGTGGGAAACATCCTTCAGCACCAGTATCTGGAATCCTCTGTACGATTGATGTAGCAGGTTTTCTGAATGCTGTGTATCATTCACGTGTCTGAATGAGATGCCCGGTGTTCTAGAGATGCCCTTCAGTGACTCTGACTTGCTGGTGATGACAGTAACGTTTGCATCATCTTAGACTGTCCCTCAACCTAGAGGTCAGAGAGCACTGAGAAACTGCAGAGAGCCATCATTAAGTAGAGCTTCATCCAGGCCGTGTGTGTGGACTTAACAATGATGCACTGAGGAATGGACACAGATGCAATGCGAGATGACACATCCAGGGCACCTGGGAAAGCAACCGTATAGGCGACAGTCCCAAACAATACAGCTGGATCCGGTTTAGAATAAAATCCCAGACGTTATTGAAGAGCTCCCAATAGAAAACAAGCTATCTCCTTACGAATGAGGGACAGTTTCACTCTGTAAATATTGACTACGTGCACTGATACAGGTGAACCGTACCTTCTGTATCAGTTGTGAGCCGACAGGAGGCAGAACAATGGAGCAGGACTGCAGCACAGAGATTTTACGTCTCCATGGCAATCGATCACCGGCCACATGCCAGCAGACAGCTCAATTAATGAAGCCCAGCTGGCCCTGATTAGACTGATAACAAAGAAACAAAGCCAGCTGGGCATGAGCCAGGGAAAGGGTGGGGGCTGCGGGGCATGATCTCAGCTTCTGGCTCAGTTTTCCCCTGCACGCTAGGTTTTTGTGCCCCGTGTGCAATGTGTTAGGTTGAGTTTAGTGTTTTGAGTGTAGCATTCAACACCTCTTGTGTATCAGACCTGACAGACTGACAGGAAAATGTCAAGAGTGAAGGCGCACAACTTTGCAGCGTAACGTGTTTCTCGACAAAAAAATACCTATAAAAACTGAAGCAAAATGGTCATCACACAAATTTGCGTAATGCACACTATACTGTGGCATGGACTACACAAGGCCTGGGAAATGGATTTCAAGTTCAAAAAGGTGATCCAGGAACTCAGGATGAGCGGAGCACTCATCTTATGTTCTTCACTCCGTTTTGGATAATGAATATCACTTCATTGCCAGGCTCAGTGAGTCCACACTCAGGTGCTTGAAAATGCACACCCATCACGAGTTTGCTGGAGCACCTGGACATAAAGACGAGGGGTGAAGCTGGAACGCTGCTCATGGAGAGAGCAGCTCTAGGGCATGAATGCAGCCTCCCAGCCTTCAAACAGAATCTCTAAAAGGACTGAATTCCACAAATATAACAGTTAATATGGCTTAAGGGGACCAGGGAGATCTGTAAGATGTGTCGACCTTTAAGGGTGCCCTAAGTATTGTAGAAGCTGTTTGGAACATAAAAGGCGATCAATGTAGTGAATGGAGTTCTGTCGTGATACAGCCGTATTTCTTAGCTGCTGTAAAGATTCCAGACTGCAGAGCCCTTTGAAAGTCTTCAGTGCATTAGAGTGATGCAGATCAGTGCATTAGTGCAATGCAGAAGTGAGGCTACACGTGCAGCAGAGGACTGTACAATGTTTTCTGTTTGCCCTGTGACAGTAACTCTGGGACTAAAAGCACTCCATTCTTAGTTCATTAGGATCTTGGAATAAACTACAATATTGCAATAACTACACTTCATATCAGTGCTTCCTGCAAGAGGTTTGTTCTGGAGAATGTCTGTATTTTTACTACGCTCAAAAGGAGCTAGGTTTTCAGCTATAGGGTTACAAAAATCCAGAGCAAGATGTGAGCTCTCAACCTCCCGGTACTGAAAGATATATTAATAAAACCTGTAAGCTGAAATCAAACCACTACAGTTATTTTCTTTTAATGTTAAGTAAGTGAAAGATCAGGAGACGCAGTGGACTAGCACAGATATCATGCGTAAAGTGAGGCCTGCTAACTACTGAGTTACAGTTATTGAATGCAGACTTTCTTTTAAAGGTATTTAAGGGTTTCAGTTTCCATATGTATGCTGTATCATCTGACTTCATGTCAACAGTGTAACTGCAGAAATTATCCCCATGTTGACATATAATGTTCCGAGGGCCACAGTACAGGCCACTGCAGGACTGCAGAGAGCTTTGAGGAGTCATCACTTACAAGGACAAACTGACAGGATCTACACACAGAACTAAACCTGGGAAAGTCCCAGCCCAACGTAAGCCACTGGATTTGGTGACTTTGAAGGAGCGCACCAACAGCACTCAAGTAACAATTTGTAGCATTGTAATATTTCACTTCTACAGCAACAGTCTCTGAGCTATGAAGAGGCCTAAAGCCAGAGTGGAGCATTTCCCAGACTTTATTTCTGTCCCGGAACCAGTCGCTTTCCATTTGCAAGGAGAGCAACTTCAACAATCTACAGCCCACCAAAAGACAGGGAACACGTTCAGAACAGACAGCCCACCAGAGGACAGGAAGCACTTCCAGGACAGACAACCCACCAGAGGACAGGGAACTCTTTCAGAACCTACAGCCCACTGAAAGAGACTGAACCCAAATTCCACAGGTCTGTGAGCCTCATTTTAGAAACCTCCTTCCCACAGAGGGAAAAAAAAACATTCCCTGAAACGATTAAGGATGAGAGCCAGCAGCCAAAAAAAGAGCTGTCTCTTGCAGGGGGCAGGATGGCTTGGGCGGCATGGGCACGGCTGAGGCGAGTCGTGTGAAGACAAACAGCCCGGTCACCCTCCCAGTGCCCAACGTACAAACAACAAGCACTCCCCACGGCGGCCTGCCAGGCATTCCAGACCTTGCTCGTTAGCGCATATTTTTACCCGTTGTTACTAAATTAGGAAGCTTGAGAGGGAGGGGATGGCGCCACCCAACCAGAAGGTGGGGGGTGAGCTTGGGGTCCATTTCCAGAGGAACCAGAGGCAGCCAGACTCAGCAATAGAAGCAAGAGAGGAAAAAGATGAAGGAAGCCTGTAGACACCAGCCAAGACCAGAGAGACAAACAAACAAACAACAGGAAGTCACAGCCCCCGGAGGCTATAAAAAGCTACCCTACAGACCCACAAATAAGGTACATGCCGCACTCGCTCAGATCCGGCCACAGCTCCCGAGGCGTGGCCACTGTCATAAATGTCACCAAGGGGCACTGCCTCTCGGGCAACATGGCAGAGATGCACCGTCATACCTGGTGGGAGGAACTTCAGGCGGTTGTTAGCCAGTCTCAGGTGCCGCAATGACCTCAGCCGGCCGATTTCAGGACAGACCACCTGCAGGGCATTGTCGCTCAGGTCCAGGGACTGTAACTTGGCCAAGTTGCCGATGGCTGAGGGCACAAAACACTCTTATTGCTGATGTGGTAGTCAGGAGAGCCGTCCTGTTTACGTGGAGGTGTAAATGACTGCGGGGCTGTGTGAAACGTTCTGGTGTGAGACACTCCTCCAGAGTGCCCTACAGCTTCACGCACCAGCCTAGCCAATTTACTGCCAGGGAGGCAGGCGTGAGAACTGAGGAGCAGCGAGATACAAACGTCTGCCTCCCCCCGTCGCCTTGCTCGGGCTGTTATCTTACAGGGCCCCTTACTCACAGCAGGCCGTAGATGTCAGCTGTCCTGCCAGCTACGACACGCCATTGACTAACACCCAGCCTGCCTGAGGGAGTCATTTTCCACACAGTCCTTTTGCGTTCTCTACAGATAATGATGATGAGGATCATAATCTTGGATATGAACCGTAACTGAATACCATTTTATCCATAAATATTTCATCCAACTCAGATTCTTATTATGACAGAATATTTCATAAAAATCTGAAAAATACTGTACAGTATCCTATAATATACATGCTTGTTTTTACTTTTTAAAACCACAGAGAGATGAAGGTAATCAAGAACCTTCCTTAAACTTAAGCACTGCAGACAGCCATATCTCATGTGTTCATTGAAAGAAGTGTAATGTGTAGATATGCATCAAATTCAGCAGGGCATTACCTTCAGGAATAATGACAATGTTGTTTGAATGGAGATACCTTCAGAAATAAAGAAAATAAAATCTTGAATTAATTTTAAGTGAATTAAATATATTGACTAAAAATTTGGAACAAAGAATAATTTTACTTTTCTACATTAAGCAAGTATTCTACATTTAGTAAACATTCAGCAAAGTTGAAATAAATACCTTTAACCCTTCTAAATGGCACAGTTCAGGGTAAGTATCTTGCTCAGATACCTCAACAGGGATCCCCTCCTGAGATCTGATCTCTGAACAGTTTGCACTTGTGAACAGTGACAGTACATTTGGAATATATGTCACACTGCAGTTTTTTATTCTTTAGCACCATCTACAGGAACACTGGCTCACTGCACTTCAAGTGGAAGGTTAACACAAATTGCAATTGATTTAATTAATTATGTCTTATCATATGGGACCTGAAATGCTAAGCAAAACCAAAAGGCCTCCAAGTAAAACAGTTAAATCGTCAAACAATTTTCCATTCATTCTTCAAAGTTCAGTATCCGTATACAGCATTTTCAGAAGATGCAGGATATACCAAAGAAATGTCTGCAGGACCATCCAGCTGGGCCACATCCAAATGGAACCCGGACTTCTGAACCCCGGAAAGTGATGAAGAACACAGATATCACTAAGTGGATCTCACTTTACTGGTATAGACCTTTATTCAAGCTCTCCCTGCAAAATACCTCCTCCTGCACAATATAAAGAGTTGACGTTTTTGAACTTATGGATCGCTAACAGAACTGATCTGGTGATCAACTGCCCATGTTAACAATGTAGCCAGCTTAGCATTCAACACCGGCCTCCAATCTACATTAGCTACTCAACAATACAACGGTTTTACTCCTTTAATTCTTTGCAGGGACATTAAATACACTGTCCCCCAGATGACATTTCATAGCTCAGGTGGGGGGGGGGGTTACATTACAGGTAATACAAAACGGTAGCCAGTTCAAAGAAGGCAGTCGGCGCCGAGAGTCATTACTACAAGACAAATACCCATAATGCTGCAGTGCAAACCACAATTACTACAAACACATATGATTAGATGACCTGCTCATTATGTGAACAAGCTACAAGAACAGATAAAGAGCAAACCTAGGTGTACTCACAGCTCTATGAGGTTCGGAAGTTTCTGGGCCAAATTTTCAGGCTGTTAAGAAAAAAAAAAAGAAAGAAAAAAACAGCGACGAGAAAAGAGTGAGAGAAAAGGGTGAGAGTGAGCAAGTAAGCGATTTAATGCCAAATCACCCACAGGCATACGGCAAGATTCACAAGGAGGCAAAGGGCAGAAGGAAAACAGAGAACCTGTTTGCAGGGCTGTATCTTCATGATTGCTGAATGTGCAGAATCAGGTCCATTAACAAATATTCCCATATACACAAAACAAACTTAAACAGGGAATTCACATTCATAAGATAGAGTAACTGACCTCATCAAATGACTCATTTATGGATTTTGATTGTGTCCATGACCTCAGTTTACACCTTGCTGTTATTAATGTAGGCCCATGTTATGTTTCATTTAACGTTAGCTTGCCCAGGGGGGGTTAGCAGACCTTGGACCCCAAAGGTTTTTTTCTCCCTATTTGGGAGTTTTTTGGTTCCTCTCCTCTGTTGTCTTCTGGCTTTCTTTCTTCCCATCTTCTCTTTTTTCCATGCTTCATGCATCTTTCTGTATAAATGATGCAGTAATGGATTGCGACACAAAGCGCCTTGCAGCAACTAAACTTTTCCTTTATTGCACTGTTGTTGGTCCTACTGTCCCCCCACTCACCGGTCCCCTGCCTTGCAACTGTCAACAAGAATTTCACTGTGTTCCTGGGAACACACGATGATAAAACTTTAAACATACAATGTCTCACCTAACAGCCCAAAATGCTGTGCGATATCTCAAGCAGGCATGGGTGGTATTCAAGGTAATATGGTATACCACGGTACGTTTGAAACTGGGAAAAAAAAAATTGGAATTGGGTTTCTTTTGAAAATCAAAATACTGTATACGCAGTGTAATATCTGGAAGGTATGATGATATAAAAAATCAGATACCGCCCAAGCCTAATCTAGAGTATTAGGATAAGGAAAAACTCAAAGTCAATCAATCACACGCAAGCCCGCAAAACTCTTCGCCATTTTCACGCACAATAAAAGCACACTTAAGTACAAAATCAAAACTTATTATAATTTGACTTGAAAACAAAGAAAAATGGTACATAGAGACACATATTATATGTTATACAGTTCAAGGAGGTGCTGAAACATGTCCTCTATTGATGGGCACGGTGCACAGAGTAGAGATGGGGAACCGGGCATCCCGAGGCCCTTACCAGGCTGGTGAGCGAGTTCCTCTTCATGTACAGCCTCTCAAGGAACTGCAGGCCCTCATCCTTCAGGAGCTCCACTGGGAAAATGTTCAGGTTCCTGTAGTTCAGGAACAGGTTCTTGTGTCGCTCCTGCTTGGCCATAAATATGGTCTCGTGCAGTTCGGAGGCCATATTTAGCCACAGGGCTTTCGCTTCATGGGCCTGGCTCCCGCTTCAGGTAAACCATGGTCTCTTCCTAATAGGCAAACATTAAAAGCTACGTTTGTGTTTGCATATTTTAACATTTTTGTTGTATTTTTTTGCACATTCCTGAAATTTTCATTGTTTTTAATGGAGTGACTTATTACGATGCAAGAAACTGTGTATTAGTACATGTCACAACTTCAAATAGTGGAAGGCTATCATCAGCACAGTACTGTATGGCGTACACATGGAGAGGCAGGGATTGGTTAACATCTTCCCTGGAAGCCCTTCCACAGGCAGACCACCACAAAAACCCTCTACAGATTTTCTCCTTAATTTTCCCTTCTTCCTGAACATCTATAATCTGTGCATTGAGCACCTGTATTACGAGTGAGCACAGAATATGCAGGTAAATCAGACAAATGTAAGATCACATAGAAATGGGGGATAACTCGGAATTTTAAAGATAGTTTTATTAAGATATGGGCTAATTATACTAATGTCATGTTCCTTTGTGTCCATGTGCCCTTTCCAAGGTAACATCAGGTGCTGGTGTGCCTGGACAAGCAAACTATTTACCCTGTCAAGTCCATGTATGATCGCAATGGTAATTAATTGTAAAGCATGCATCACAGTATTTATAATAATAATAATACTGCATTAATAACCATTGCCTTAAGTGTGCTTGTGCGCAGGTTTACGGTAAAACGCTTGATCGCAGTTAAATACAATTAATAATAAAAACAACATGGATAATTTTGTGAGAATAATGATAATGGTGGAAATGATTAATTATTAATAATAACGTGAGGTGCTTTTAATAATCATTCACATAAGCCCACTGCTAACTCTATCCACTGACCTACACCGGCGACCAGCAAGTCAGCTGAGCCTCATGCCAATGTGACAATTAAAAAGGCCATTATCTGGGTTTTGTGTGTGCATTTACGTGTAAAAATAAAAAATTAAAACGTATACTTCTGCCGTCAGCAGGTGCTTATCCGGGCGGTCAAAATACCGCGCTTTCGGACGGATGGGCTAGCCTGCTATCCCGCTAACACCGACCTGTTAGGCAGCCACCGCCAACGCCAAAGTACACGCAAAGCCATCTACTGTGTTGCAGTAAACGTAGAAAAAATGGTGCGTTTCTTTTTTAACCCACAGGCTTTATATGTATATATATATGGATATTTACCAGTGAAGTTATACAGCTGTCCCTTGCCAAAACACTTCCAACAGTCATTCGTCGAACAGTCACCAGAGCATGACGTAATTCAACAGCGCTGGCATGTGTGTCGAAATACAGAGACAGCGAGTCCGTTGGTTATTGTAGTTTTATGTCGCGCAACGACTGTTTTTTTTTCTGGGGTTGAATTCATTCTTCTTACTTGGCCGACTTACTGTATGGCACATTATTAGTATACGTGGGAATACATTTAAGTCCTTTATCTTGTTATCCTAACACAGTTCCGTTCAGGAACTAAAATATTCGTACATTTATCTTAAAACGCACCATTAACCACCAGAAATATATTATGCACGTTTCAGTGGGGCGCATATTAAGATTGCCACGATGTGAACAGGGAAAACAGCAATGTATATCTTAACTAAAAGTTATGTCCTTCCCCAGGAGCAGGTTCGCAGTTAGCACCAGGGACGGATGGGATGGGTCCCCTTCAGATTGACCTCGATCCGCCCCCTCCACTTACAGGACAAAAAAACAGCATCTGCCGTCGTTGCATAAGGAAAAAATATCCTTGGACCCCCCCAATTCAAAAATCCTATCTGCGCCACTGCCCAGGAGTAAGGATGTGCAAAGCTGCATGTTCCAAAACCTACTGAATAAGAATAAAGAAACAGAATTACAACATGCACGAAGCTTCACAGGGAATCATATACTGTATGTTGATGTTTAAACTTACATTACAAACCCGTCTTTATATGGTTTGTTTCAAGCTGTTTATGTATCTTTATTAAGTTCAAACTTAAGATGAAACTAACTGAAGATAAGTGAATTTCCGTAGATTAAAGTGAAATTCAACTTCGTTAAACTTATTGTGGGGAAAACATACAAGGTTACATGTCACCTGCTTGGTACCCCGGATTAGAACGGCAAATTGTAATAGGGACCTGGATTACTAGGCTTTTAATAATTATTGAGTCATTCTCTGAAGCGGCACCTCCACCGACGTGATAGATTGTTGCAAGGGACACTTTTGATGTTTACCAGAAGCTTCTCTGCCCCACTGTCACATGCTCCGCGCTATTTATTTCCTGACGTATCATGTTCATCAGATTAGCTATTGGGATATGCTCCTTACACTTCTTTAATCACGTGCAATTTTGGTCGTTTATTAATTCCGAACCGTTACTAAATTAAATGACCTACTGAACCGCCAGTTTCAGGTACAGCGCACTTAATTTTAGGAGAAAACAAAAGTAGATATTAACGTGACCTTTATTTGGATGTGCTTAAAATTTCAACATGTAAAACACACTTCAGCCACAAGATGGCGCATAAGTGGCGGCAAAATGATCCAATGAACGCTTTCAGAATCGACATTTAATAATAATATATCAATGGTATACAGTCATGCGTCGCTTAACGACGGAGATACATTCTGAGAAATGCGTTAGCCGATTTTGTAGTTCTGCGAACATCATAAAGTGTACTTACACAGACCTAAATGGTATAACGTGCTACACACCTTTGCTACAGTAAACGCTTTTTTTTGTAAATAGAAAGAGTATACTCTAAAATAACAAAAGTACAGTATAACTATAATACATACATAAACAAGTTACTTAGTAACTGTCATTATCAAGCATTTACTATTATGTACTGTGCATAATTGTATGTTCTGCAGGCCTACTTTTACACTACTGACAACGCAGTAGGTTTGTTTGCACCAACAGCACCGCAAACACGTGAGTAATGTGTTGCGCTATGACGTCACTAGGCAATAGAAAATTTTCAGCTCCGTGTTTATTTTATATGCCCACTGTCCTGCATGCTGTTAGTCTTTGACAAAAACGTCCCTAGGCTGTATTATATATTTGAGAAAAAAACTAATTACAAACAATTATAATGCATTATGATATTCAAGTAACAATTCTTTTTTAAATTAACTTTGCGTTGACACCCAGACCATGATATTTGCTTATGTTCAGTGTAATTCTCATGTAAAAATCCACTTCACTGGAACATTTTCTGACCTGTTTCTGTTACTTAACTGTGAACTGAAGCTTCTCTAGAGCCCAAGATAGGGTCTAACCAAACAACTGACTGTTTTGGTTCCGTTACATTGTGGTCATTTCGTTGCATCTATACCAAGCTGGGGTATCACTAGAGATGTAGGCCCCATGGAAGAATATCATATTGGGTCCCCAACCCAGACTAATCAAACTATTCCCTTGGAAGTGTCCTATCTGTACCAATGAGCTGGTTTGAGTCCAGCTTTGCCCATCTGTGGGGGCTTGAGTGAGGCCCTTACACACCCCAATCCCCCAGCTCCCTGGATGCCACTATAGGTGGCCCTTGGTAGCCAGCCTGCTCTCACCTACAGAGAACAAGATGAGGGAACATTAAGAGAATTTCTTCATGAGGATCAATAATAATAAATCTCACGCCCCCCCCCCC